TCCCAGGATTGCCTGCATTGGATCTGTCTGTCCCAAAGTTGTAAGACGCAGACCAGAGCGTACGAACGAAAACACGAATGAACAAACCAGCTGCAGATCCTTTCCAATGTGATAGCTCTGTTTAAACACACAAAGTGGTTTAGAAAATTTCCAGGCTTGATGGCTCCTGGGGCCATTAGTCAAAAGACATTGCACAACTATACTCCTGTCAGCTTTTGTGACCAATGTTTTTTTGTGGTAATGGGGCAGGGATAGGTTTTTAAATGATGGGAAGATATGAGAAGATAAAAGCGTTTTTTTGGGATGCTGGGTAAAATCCCATTTATGAGTCATGGCAGTTGCATAATTTAACTCTGGCTTGAAGTACCACGTTTTTTTCCTGTTTTGTTTGGAAAGGGAAGAATTAAACTGTCCACATCTGTATTTAGCCTGTCTGCTTGGGAGTTTGCAAGGACTGTTTATCTGCTTTTAGGTTCCCAAATTGCCAGAGAGTGGAAGGTAATGGGGTGGGGGTGTATTCCAGGCAGGATGTTTACAATGGGGTTGCAAGCCTTTGGAGCAAGTGTGTCAATGAGATTTTGCATCTCGCAAAAAACGAGGGCAAAGGGCACAGGGTGACACCCGACCTATATCCGGTCCCAAGGTCCTCGCGGTGAAATGATTATTTTCAGCAAACCTTGTCAAACTTTATCAGACTTAAACGGTGCAATTGATAGGTGGGTTTCCCCCTTTCTATCCCTATTTAAGGTAGTCCTCAACTTATAAACATTCGTTTAGTGACCATTTGAAATTACAACCGCACTGGAAAAAGTGACTTATCACCTTTTTTTTCCACACTTGCGACCATGGCAGAATTCCCATGATCACATGATCAAAATTTGGAGCTTGGCAACGGGTCCATAGTTATGATGGTCGTGGTGTCGCGAGGTCATGTGATCCCCTTTTGCGACTTTCTGAGGAGCAAGGAGACTCACTTAACAACCGTGTTACAAATGTTAACAATTACAGTGATTCGCTTAACAACCGTGGCAAGAAAGATCACAAAATGGAGCAAAACTCGCTTAACTACTGTTTTATTCAGCAACAGAAATTTTGGGGGTCAGTTGTGGTTGTAAGTAGGAGTGGGATTCAAAAATCCCAGCAACCGGTTCTCTGCCCGGTTGCCGGGTGGGCGTGGCCATGGTGGGCGTGGCCTACCGGAACTTCCAGAGGCTTCCCTCAGGCCTCTGGCAGGATGAAAATGGCTCCCCCCTGGGCTCCAGAGGCCTTCCAGAAGCCGGAAACAGGCCCATTTCTGGACTTCTGGAACTTCCGATTCGGCCCATTTTTCGCTCTCCCAGAACCTCTGCATGGACCCTGCACTTACCTGCATCCAAAACGGGCCACATGGAGATTTCTGGAAGGGGCGGGGCAGGTTGGGCAGGGCCAGCCAGTTGGTTCAACTACCGGTTCAGCCAATGATGGGATTCAAAAAAATTCACTACCGGTTCTATGGCTGTGGCTTGGTGGGCGTGGCAGGGGAAGGGTACTGTAAAATCTCCATTCCCATCCCACTCCAGGGGAAGGTTACTGCAAAATCCCATTCCCTCCTCGCCCCACTAACCTGCTTTCCAGGTCCCTTCTCCTGTGCAGGGCAACAAAAGAAGACCCAGCCAATCAGCTGGGACTCAGGAGGCAGAGAATAGATGGGGGAGGGGCCAGTCAGAGGTGGGATTTGCCGGTTCTCTGAACTACTCAAAATTTCCGCTACCGGTTCTCCAGAAATGGTCAGAACCTGCTGAATACCACCTCTGGGTTCAGCGAACCAGGTGTAAATTTAACATCCGGTTCATCCGAATTGGCTGAATCCCACCCTGGTCCTAAGTCAAGGACTACCTGTATCTGATTCTCCTTCTTAGGCTTTCCTGACGGGGTGATTTTTCTCCTTCAAAGTCAGGATGCCCTTCTCTTTCTCCTCTCATTAGTCACAAGCACTCCTTGTGGTCTCTCATCCAAATACTAACCGAATCCGAAAAGCTTAGCTTTTCAAGATTAACCAGGGTCAACTCTATTTTAATTAAGTGGAAATAATTGAAATATGCTGTATCCCCTATACTTGCTCTTGCTTCCACTGTTATCACACTGATGTCATTTTCTTCAGTGGAAGTTGTCTGAGGCACAAACGACCTTTTGAAATTTTTTCCTAAATTCAAAGAAAGAGATACAGGGTGTCAATTTTTTTTCCCTAATTTCTCAGGACAAACGAGAAATCCTTCTATAATACCTCAAACTGGTCTGCTCTTTTTCTCAGACTACAATAACTTCTCTGGAAGATATTCGTTCAAATAGTTCCTTGTAAAGAAGAACTGTGAAAATGACCTTAGGAAGGAAGAACCATTAAGAGAAGTGAAACAGCAATTAAGTCTTGGGAAAATGGAAAATATGAAGAAGAAATTCAGATGAAGCCCATCTTGATTCTGTTGGTATAGCAGAATGACTTTCAAGATCCTGTTATTATGCTGCATTACACTAAAGTAGCAATTAAGAATCTGATTCCTGAACATACATGTATATCACCAGATGAACTGACTATCCAAAAGATAATAATGACTTGTGCTGAGATGGATAATTTAACTCTGGTGTTACAAGAAAAGGAAGAGTCCGAGTATTATTGAATTTAGGAAAATTGGTATGACTGGATTGATGGATGGATGATGACAAATTAATGATAAGCAACATATAAGTTAAATGCTTACATTCACATAAATTGTATATACTTGTAAATAATGCACAAAATAGTAGTATAAGATGAATGCCACAAATTGTTAATATCAAGATATTTACACTTTTTGTTTGTTTTTAAAGTTATAAAAGATTAATAAAGTTTATTTTTAAAAAGGGAGTGAGGAGTGGGGTGGAACAGGAGACGATGCAAGAGAATGTTCTGCTCCACGGTAATAATATATTAAAAAAACAACAACAGTAGATTATGTCCTTCCCACCTATTAACTAAAACGCATTTAGAAATAGAGCAGAGCGGCAGGGAGCGTGTGAGAGAATCTCTGAATGATATTCCTCAGAACAGGAACAAGGACATCACATGTGCAAGAGTGCCAGATGATTAGCAAATGTTCTTTGTGCAGCCAAAATGGACGGAGGCTTCCGGGTTCCATTAAGGCAAAGGAGAATAGGACATTAGTGACAACAGGACATCTGCGGCTGACAGTCAGGTAGCCCTTGACTTATGTCTGGGGGAAGGCGGGGGGCTTAGTGACCATTCAAAATTACGACAGACCTCCAAGGCTATCTCTGAGGGAGATAGGCAGTGTCTAAATCTGACTGTCAACTCTGAAGCGAACCTGGATGAAGCCATCTTGTGCTGCCTCATAGTTGTCATGAAGGCGAAGGGAGGGGAGGAGTAGATAGACCAGCTACCAGTCAAAACAAAAACTTGTCCTGTGGGAATCAAGGTCATCCCAACAGGTGGCTATTGAAGGAGGAGTCAAGCCTGCCATCCATCCTAATTGGACAATGTGATCGATGACACCTGGAAGGGGGCAATTTTACTCTTTTAATTAGGTGAAAACTGCAGAAACTTTTAGAGTTGATTTTCACCAGCTGTGCCGATATGCTGAACATATTCTTTGAGGAATCCACTGCCTCGGAGTTCTGCTTTCAATGGGTGCTTTACTCAAAACGCTGACATTGACAAATAAACAAAATAAATGAAAAAGCTACTTATGACCCACTTCCGAATTCCAAGTGTCAGCTTCCTCTCTCCCTCACAGTCAGGCTTTGGGTGCTCCAAAACAACCAACCTGCATTTACATCATGTGACTGCAATTTACTCCATTCCCCCCTTCCCCAGAAACTAGCATTTACTTCCAGTCCCCCCCCACCCGCAAAAAAGTACCCCATAGCAAATGTTTGCTTTACAACAGGGGGTCGCAAAGTTGGCAACTGTAAGACTTGTGGACTTCAACTCTGGGCGAATTCTGGGAGTTAAGTCCACAAGTCTTAAAAGTTGCCAAGTTTGGAGACCTCTGCTTTACAATATCTATGTTCACTTAATGACCACTGCAAAAAAGGTCTTAAAATTGAGTCTGGCCATGTTACAATTGTCATGACTTACAACCATAGTTGCAGGGCTGAATTACAGTCATAAACTGAGGATTACCCGCATTTTTCTTTTACTCTTTCCACAATTCCTCCCACTTTTCTTGTTGGCTGAATCTTTAGCAGGACTTTAGCAATCTTTAGTAAGACTGCCTCCCTCAGCAAGTGTCTTGAGCCAGGCCTGCTAAAGATTCAGGTGATTTCCTGCTGGGGGGGGGGGGTTGGACTAGACGACCTCCAAGGTCCCTTCCAACTCTGTTCTTCTATGATTCTATGACTATGGAGATTCTCGGTCATTCCGGTCATGGTTGTCGCAAAGGTGTTTTTCCACGAGGCAACTGGATTTTGTTGTTTTTCTTTGAAGACATCCAAGAAGCTTGGATTTTGTTGTTTTTCTTCGCATCCAAGAAGCTTCTTCAGTTCTGACTGGATGGTAGGGCAGGGAAGGATTTCTATTCCTTGCAGACAGCTGGTCAGGTTAAAGGACGCAAACGACCAGCCATCTGCAAGGAGTATAAAGTAAAGCTGGCTGGGGAATTCTGGGAGTTGAAGTCCTCCAGGCTTAAAGTGACCAAGGTTGGAGACCCCTGGTATAGAAAAGGGGCGTGGGGGACGCGTGTTTTGCAAACAATACCCTTTCTCCGCTTTCGCTGGCACCAATCTCCTTCCCTTCCCCCTCTTCCTCCCCTCCCCCCCGTCCACCCCCGCGGGGTTGCTCGTTGCGTGACTTTCCTACACACCGACCTGAATTACAACTCTTCCAAGTTCGGAGTTTCCCGTCTGAGCTGTTGGAGCTGCTTACAGCCGCTTAGCCAATGGGGTGGCGAGGAAGGCGTGGCCACCCCATTCATAAATTCGGACCCGGCCGAACGGCTCCTCACTTCTAACTGCTTTCCGGGCGCTTTCAAGCCTTTCTCCTCTTCCTTTGCCCGGACGACCATGTGCTACGCCTGCAAGCCGACCATGCTACAGTTCAGCATGCCCCCAACCTCCGCCAGGGCCGCGCCTAGCGAGCCCCAATACTTCACTTTTGATCCTCTCCCGGACAACGAGAAGAGTCCAGCCCACCGGGGTTACACCAAGACCAACAAGTCCAAGAGACGTTCGCGGAAAGTCCTCTACCCTCCAGTGGTAAGTCGTGAGGGGGAACGGTTCGCAGCCCGGTCCGAGAAACGGGAGAGTAACTGGGGTCCATCCAAGAGGGCCATACTCGGTCTTGACCCCTTTAAGATGTTCGCTGGCTGCGGAACTCTGGGAGTTGGAGTCTCCACCTCCTCTGGTCCAAGGAGTCTCCAACCTTGGCAACTTGAAGACTTGTGGACTTTAATTCCACAAATCTTTCCTGCCTGAGCACGGGGGTTGGACTAGAAGACCTCCAAGGTCCCTTCCAACACTGCAAAATCGGGTATGCTGCTCCCATATGAGCAGCATGTGTATATATCCAGTACGGATTATTTTCCAATAATTGTGCAAAAAGCGTGTTTCTAAATCGGTGTTTCTCACCATGGCAACTTTAAGAAGTGTGGACTTCCAACTCCTAGAATTCTGCCTGGGGAATTCTGGGAACTGAAGTCCACAAAGCCATCATGGATGAAAAATACTGTTCTAAGTAGCTTTCTTCAACCTTGCCTGAATAACATAGTTGGAAGGGACCTTGGAGGTCTTCAAGTCCACCCCCCACCCCTTGGTCAGGCAGGAAACCTTACACCATTTCTGACAAATGGTTGTCCAATCTCTTCTTTTAAAAACCTTCCTGAGGTTGGAGCATTCACAATTTCTGGAGGCCAGTTGTGTGCCTTGTGGGACTGTGACGGTCATCCTTGCAGGGAACAGCAGCAATAGGTCCTTCTAATGCCGTAATTTATTTTTGGAACTTGGCAACTTGAAGATGTGTGACTTTGCACTCCCAGAATTGCCCAGCCAGCATGGACCTATGGTGCATTTAGTGCATGACAATCCAAATCATTCCTGGAAGCGGAGGGGATGGGGGCAATTATTTCATTGCAGAGGCATTGAACTAAATGCAGAGGTTAATCAGGGTGCTGTGTCACTAATTCCCTTTCCTTGTTTCTCTTTCCCAGGTGAAGCGTTATTATCCCACGGAGGAGCGCAGCTATGCCAAGACCTTCCTCTTCATCCTCCTCGCCGTTGTCTTCTTCCAAATCTATAATGCGGAAGAGGACCTCCTCCTTGCTGGAGCCACCCTGGAGGACAACACATCCAGCTGCTTTCTGCAGGGCGGGGAGTCTCAGGCCCCTTCGGCACAGCCCATCATTGCAGAGCAACCCGTTGTATCAACTCCCTCCTTGGAAATCGCCAATGTTTCTGAGTGGTCCTGGGGGGAGGACAGATCTTCGGAATCTACTCTCGACATCACCCATTTTTTGCAGCAGAATCCAGCTGCTTTCTGAAGAGGGAAGAACCCTCCCTCCCTTCCTGCTGGAGGCGGGAAATGGACCGAGAGTCTATAAAGTGGGAAGCCAGGCGGCGGGGCTGCCATGCTCGCGGGCCTTTAGCAAAAGTCTCTTTGTAAAGCAGAAGTAAAGATGCAGAAAGGGACAAGGAGGCCTGGAGCTCAGCCTTGCGCATTCCTGACACAAGACTGACGTTGTAAGAAACTTGAACTCGACTGACACCGCATTATGCAAACAGGAAGGGGGACATTCCTTGTTGGTGCAATTGAAGGAGGTGGGGGAAAGGGGATATTTAATATTTATTAATAATAATTATAATAATAATTAATATCTATGTAATGTAAGCTGACTTTTATTTATGTGTGAAACTGGAAAATAGGATAGGGAACTGCTGCTGTTGGGCTGCACTAGGCCTTTGGAAAGAACTCTTAGAATGTTTTTATATTTCTCTAGCATTATATTTTCTCTAGAATTAACAGCGATGGTTTTGTGGGTCATGAATCTGATAGGAAGAAGGCTAGATTTTGGAAACTGAGAATCTTTTTAGCATTTGTACTTTGGTGAAGGAGCAACGTTTTAGTGAAGATTGAATGTTGATCAGAATTTTGCAAATGGTGTTGTGATGCTCCAATACTGTACCTTTTAATGGGAGGAAACGTCTTGTGACTAGGGGGGGTGGGGAAAATAGAAAAACTGACAAAAAAAAAGTTGTCATTGAAGCTAACGGACAAGACTTCTCAGCTTCATAATAACTGGCACAATAAAAGTTAAAGATGCTTCTTTTTATTTATTGTAAAAACATCTGATTTTTGTTGTTGTTCCTGCATTGTATGTTAGCCAGAATACTTTTTTGTTAGTGTTTGCTGTGTAACAATAAGTGGCTTTTGAAGGCTGATGCAGCCATACTAGCATTTCCAAAACTTTAGTAAGTCACTTTTGTGAATTGCACTTTACATGTTAACACTATTCCAGATGAACTGGCTCAATTGTGTATGTTCTGTGAACAAATCAATAAAAAAAATGTTTTAATCTTTGCCTGGCTGGGATATTTCTGAAAGCTGTGTGTAGAAAGAAAATCTTGGATTGGCAATAAACCTTTGAGAAAATTTTGGAGGAATCAACCAACACCCCCCTTCTGCATTCTAAATTCACAAAATCCCTTCACACACACACAGACACACACAATTACATATATGAAAGAATAAACCAAGGGTCTTCCAACTTGACAGCTTTAAGATTTGTGGACTTCAACTCCCCAGATTTCCTGAGCTAACATTACTGGAGGAGGAATTCTGGGAGTTGAAATCCACAAGTCTTAAAGCTGTCAAGTTTTAAGACCCCGGAATAAACACTGGCAACTTGCTCATCATTAAGCCAAGCTCAGAGAAGATCAAAACTCAACTGTTTAACCCCAAATTACATTTATTTTCTACAATTTGGACCAACAAGAAGAATGAGTTTAGTAACCATGAATTCTGTTTCAGTTGTAACTTCTGAGTCACCTTCAAATGTTGCCCCACTTAGAATGTGCTGCAATAATTGATCCACACAGCAAGGAACATGAGTTACCACCACTTGGGTTTCCTCCTGGTCCATATAGGGCCACATCCGCTCAATTGCACTGCTGACTTATGATTACATCAGCTGTGCTTGTAGAAACTATGAATTGAGGAGCACCGTTGTTCATTCAGGGAACTTGTAAGGCGATCTGGTTCCAACACTAGAACCAATGTTTCTGTAGCCCAGGTGGTTTTTTATTTGGGGGGGGGGGGAGAACAGGACATTTGCCTTGATGTATGTAATCTGAGTTTGTCCTTTCCTGCCCTGTTCAGTTTTTGTTGCCTCAATGTAAAAAAGGTGTGGAGACTCTAGAAAGAGTGCAGAGAAGAGCAACAAAGATGTTTAGGGGACTGGAGACTAAAACATAGGAAGAACTGTTGCAGGAACTGGGTATGTCTAGTCTGATGAAAAGAAGGACTAGGGGAGGCATGATAGCAGTCTTCCAATATCTCAGGGGCTGCCACAAAGAAGAAGGAGTCAAGCTATTCTCCAAAGCCCCTGAGGGCAGGACAAGAAGCAATGCGGGGAAACTAATCAAGGAGAGAAGCAACTTAGAACTAAGGAGACATTTTCTGACAGATAGAACAGTTAATCAGTGCAACAACTTGTCTCCAGAAGCTCCAACACTGGAAATCTTTAAGAAGAGCTTGGATAACCATTTGTCTGAAGTGGTGTTATTCTATTCTATTCTGTTCTATTCTAAATGGTTGTCCTCACAACTCCAGCTACTGGTTCATTATTGTACTTCCAGCTATTCCACTCAATATTATATCTTCTGCAGATCTGGTGAACATTCTCTTTACTTCATGAAGAAACTACTGAAGAATGGAAGACTCAAAACATTTACTGAGGCATCTTCCATCTCAATACCTCTCCAACCATACATGAGCACACTTTCAAGTTATGATTTTCCAGGGGGGTTGTACACCCTTAGTTTTCAAGGCCACATCTAACTAGCTTGCTAATCCAACAAATTATGGTTCTCAAATGCTTTAAGGAAATCGAGATATGATATGACTGCAGCATTCCCACTATCTATTAAGGAGATTAGCTGTCAAAAATACAGATGAGGTTTGTCTGACAGGATTTGGTAAACTCTTGATAAATTCTGCATGACTTTTATTAATTACTGCATGATGTCAAGATACTTACAGATCAATTTCTTCATGATCTGCTCTAGAATTTGCCAGGTATTTGATGTCTGTCAGACTGGCCAGAAGTTTCCCTTTTCCACTATTTTTCAGGCACTGGTTCTCCTATGTTTCTTTTTTTAATTATTATTATTAAATTTATTTGCCACCCATCTCATTTTGAAGTAACTATGACATTTCACCAATTTGTCAAGATTTTGCAAAGATATTGCATGAAGGTAGTCCTTGACTTACAATAGTTCATTTAGTGACTGTTCAAAGTTACAATGGCACTAAAAAAAGTGACTTGTGACCATTTTCCATCCTTACGACCATTGTTAAAGGAGATGGAATATTGAGGCCATCAGACTGATTGAGGATGGACGGCTGGGTTTCTTCTAGGTTGCAATTCCCTTTTAAATTTGCAATTCCCTTGGACTGAGCTGAGTGAAGAGACAGGAGTGAGAAAATTTCTATTCTGTCCTATGAAAGGGCCACTTTGTCTAACAATAGAAATAATCCTAGGTACACTGATAATGACCTCCGTTTCCCCCAAACTGGCCAGCAAACCCTAGGATTTTTCATCTTGAGGTCCTCAACTATAAAAATCTCTCCCTTCCCCAAACCCTTGAGTTTATCTTTCTTGTAAAGCAAGTACCCAACTATCAATGCAATAAATGTGTGTGTGGGGGGGTGTTTTCTCCTCAGTGTTGTGTACTTCTGAATTTGCCACAAAGGTTCTTCAGAACAGAATTTAAACCTAGAATTTACCGAGAATTCAAACCAGGGATTCCCTGCTGACTCTCTCTTTATTCCTTCAATCCTACTTCTTCTTTCTCTTTTTACAACCTCTTCATAGGGCAAATGTTTAAACTGGACCAAATTAAAAACTGAGTAGTTCTGCCTTGTCTTTATTGCCCTTTCCCTTATAGGACTGATAGGAATGATAAGGAGCACTTATAGTAATTTTTCTCTTTTTAAAAAAACAAACAAACCCTTTTTATTCTTCTTCTTTTGCTTCCTTCATCTACAACAGTTCGTTCTTGATCTTAAGTTTTCCTGACATGGACGCCACAGTTCCTTATTAGCTTTGTCTACTCTTCCTTGCCAATCTATCCCTTTGTCATTTAACAGAATAACAGTTATCTTGGAGGTCTTCTAGCCACCAGTGGTGGCTAATCTTTTTGGGCTCATGTGCCAAAAATTGTGCACATGCAAGGGCTTGTGTGCCAGCACCCAGAAGGCAATGCGCATAGCCTCCCCCATGCCCCCTGTGTATGCGCTTGATTCCCCCACCACCACCCTCTTTACCTGCACTGCACCTCCCAGCTGATTTTCGGCCTGCCAGAGGCTTGAGGGATGCCTCTGCAGGCTTTGCAGGCCAAAAAAAATAGGCCCATTTTGTCACTTCGATATTTCCGGAAATACAGGAAGTGATGAAATGAGCCTATTTTTCGGCCTGCAAAGCCTGCAGAAGCATCCCTTAAGCCTCTGGCAGGCCGAAAGAGACCCGAAAATCAGCTGGGAGGCACGTGCATGCACAATGAGGTAAGTTTGCCTGGGGGTCCCGTGCCCAGACAAATGGATCTGTGTGCCACGCTTGCCATAGATTCGCCATCATGGCCTTATACCATTCTGGACAAATGGCTGTCCACTTTCTTCTTGAAAACATCTAGTGATGGAGCACCCACAACTTCTGAAGGCAAATCGTTTCATTGATTAATCGTTCTGTCAGGAAATTTCTGGTTTTGTTATAGGTCCGTGCTCTATGAATAAATAAATAATAACAATAGAAATCTGTGGCTCTCTATTCTTCTAATGTATCCTTTTCCCTCATCCACTCCACACTCAGCTTCTGGCTCCCCACTTGTTTCCTTCTCTATTTTTGCCTTATTGCAGCTATTTGCAATTGCCCTTCCAATATCACATTTTCTGAGTCACCCCCATGTTTTTAGCCCGTTTTCCCCTGAACGTTGCCTGTCCTTTCATGACTAATAATATGGTTTGCCAATATTTAATGAGGGTCATCACTTAAAAAAAAAAACTTTAGTAAACTTTACATACATGCAGATGATCCATCAATTTTCATAATGTATTGGTTTTTCTTTTCCTAAAAGAGTGGCCTTTTTTGAATACAGCGTGATATTTTTTTTCTTGTTTAGTCATGTTTTCCATAAATTTGGCTTGAATATATCAGAGTGATGATGACAGCATCAGTCAATCAGTGACAAATGAATTCTCTTGTAAGCCCTTTTGAGGAGAAACTCCTGAAGTTGGTACATCCCCATGACTTTCTGATTCTTTCTGATTTTTGCTCTGACTGATGAAGCTGCTTGGATGAAACAGCTCACATGATCAAAGTTTGGTCCAGTTGCCATGACTCAACCTTTAGGTTCCTTTGGCCTGGATGACTGAGTCTCCATTGATGAATTATCTTGGAGTTTCTTCAAAACAGACCAATCAGAAGCCTACCTAGATGAAGAACCCATGAATAACCAGAGTTCTTAGCTTCCCATCACATGGACCAATCAGGGATTAGTTACAAGAGTCTAGCCATCTCTGCTTCAGTTGCCTGTGGTGATAAATTCACTACAAAGCAGCTGTCAGCCTTCAAGACTCCTTTCTTTCGCTGTCTTTTTGTCTGCAATAGTAACAGGGGGAGGGTGAATCAATTGGGCTTTGTGGGGTGGGAAGTGTGCTGGAGGCTTTGGAGAATGAACTGTATAACTTGGGGAAAACTTTATTGTTTATCTTATTTGCTTGCTTACTGAGCAACTGCAGTTTACCAAACCAGGCCAAGGTCAACAGCCAGATGTCTGCATCACCACCTGAAGATGCCCCACATGACAGTATACACATCTTCAATTGGATGGACCATTTGAACTATGGCGGGTGGAAACGTTGCCATCACTTTGTATATGTGTTTTTCGCACACAAATCCTCAGATCTAGAATTCTTTTGATGCTACCACTTGATTTCCAGTGAAAGTTTCTTTTCTCTATAACAACAGAGTCTAAGAGTGTCTTTCTTGGATTCTGAATGGCGCACCATCTGACAGCAGCTCCATTTCCAACCTTGGGAATTGCCAGCAAAACTTCTGGAACAACATCAGGACACCAGAAAACTAATTCATGGCCATTCAGGCTGAAGCTCATCCTGGCTTCATGAGACAAGCAGAAATAAGTGTATTTCTCCTTTGGGGAGCACCTTACAAAAAGAATCATGAATATTCCAAGGAAGTAATATAAAAAAATAATGCACAATAGAGCAAATAGCAAGCTTTTGGATACCACCCATCCATTTACCAGT